TAACATCTAATGGTCATCTCAAAGTTTTCATACACACGCTGGTGGTAAGACTAACATCTAATGGTCATCTCAAAGTTTTCATACACACGCTGGTGGTAAGACTAACAATTAATGAGCTTACTTAAATATTTAAATTTTAATACTATATCATTATCTACCATAGATTGCTCTGATAATAACTGTCAGAATTTGTATTTACAGGTAAAGGAATTAATGATTTTATGTTAATCCAATAGTTTTAATTAAAACATTGCTTCATTTGTAAAATAACATGAGGGTAAGACAAACATGTTTCAATATGTCACTGAGATCTGAAGAGTCTTTAAAATTATAACCCTGATTAAGAAAAACTGTCATACCTTTGCTACAAGTTTTAAGAATGTCTTTTGTTTTTCGAGCTAGAACTGATTGGGAAGCACCCTGAAACACACAAAAATGTTTGTAAATTGTATGAAACATACAAGACACTTGTTTTTAAAGAAATTGATCACCTCATCTGTTTCACGGTATAATATTTTTAAGTTTGAAACTAGCACACAATTTATATTAAAATAGGAAGAACTAATTAAAGGCAATACAAATCTTAATAACTTTTAACATAAACAGTATTTTTAAAATGCTTAAAACAGCTGTTTAAGGTGATTAGTTTTGGATAGTGTAATGAAATACTGCGTTTATAATACTTCGGAATACTGCCTGTTGTAGCTCTGAATCCTTCCCTAAAGTTGATTAGTTTCTGCTGGTTTTTCTTTGTGTAATTTCATTTACTGCATATGTACATAAGTAAATATGTTAACAACATATATAGGTTTTTATATGTCTCATGTCAGAATATTTATAAAGGAGAGACTTGTATGAGCTCTTAAGTCGGGCTTTCTTGTTGGGGCACATATCATATTCTCTCTTTATCTTTAGAAGCCCTTATTCTGCTTGGTAAAATGAGATTTTGCAATTCCAAAGTAAAACCTGTAATTTTGAAGATTTCAAAATCAGTAATGCTATCTAATCCAGAGTTTTTAATTGTATGTGAAAATACTGCTTTGTACAATATACCTACTATTTTTAAATTTCATGAACTGAAAACCTTACTTGTGAGTGTTATTAAACTATACTTTAAGATTTCATTGAGACTGGTATAATGAATTACATACTGTTTGTTGTTAGCTAACGAGGTGGATATCAGAGATACTTTCTACCATAAAAATTCAGCAGGTCTGTTTCAGTTAAAGGATTTTATTATTTACTGTTTAGAACAATATGTATAAAATTCTTTACTAACAGACTTTGATTATTATAACTTTAACCAAGTTTCCTTCAATGTCCAGTCTACAGACTTGTGTTTTTGAATGTCTGGCTCATGAGATCTTCAGCTATTTATAACTTTAACCAAGTTTCCTTCAATGTCCAGTCTACAGACTTGTGTTTTTGAATGTCTGGTTCGTGAGATCTTCAGCTATTTATAACTTTAACCAAGTTTCATTCAATGTCCAGTCTACAGACTTGTGTTTTTGAATGTCTGGCTCATGAGATCTTCAACTATTTATAACTTTAACCAAGTTTCCTTCAATGTCCAGTCTACAGACTTGTGTTTTTGAATGTCTGGCTCGTGAGATCTTCAGCTATTTTCTTTTTGTATGCATACTTCACTTTGCTACCAGACAATGAGATTACAATTCAACAAAGGACTTGTTTTTCATTGCTACAATGAATTAGTGGTGTAATATCAATAAGCTGTCTTCATTTTCAAGATTTTGGCATTAAACCATTTGTTTAAGGAAATTTATTCTATGTTAAGAATGTTAATACCAAGATTCTTAAACGCCAGATATTTAGTAGAACTTTTAAACACAATATAGTCACAATTCAAAGTGCAGGATTTGGTATTTTAGAAGTGGTACAACTGTACCTGAGGTTTCTAACTTGGCAATCTAACCTAGACTCATGAAGTTAAGATAAAAAAAAACAGATAGTAAAAACCTAACTTCATAAATTACCACAAAACCTCATTCGCTGAAGACACACAATCAAACTGTTACAAGCTTCTGAACACTTCTTGTTCTCATGGGTAATGTTTTACCTCTGTAGAAGAATTGAGACATGTTTACGACCTTTCTGTGTCCAGTTATCATGCACAACACCTACATCAAAATGTAGAAAACACCCGATGATATGTTCCAAACTAGTTAAATTAACAACTGTTACATTGCTACACTTCTCTGTAGTTTTTAACTTGTACATGAAGCTATGAGCAGTACTGTACCAACGATTGATGGTGTCCTGTGCGACATATGACACACAACCAAACTGTTACAAGCTTTTCAGAAGCTTGTAACAGTTTGGTTGTGTGTCTTCAGAAGCTTGTAACAGTTTGGTTGTGTGTCTTTCAGAAGCTTGTAGCAGTTTGGTTGTGTGTCTTCTTGGGACCGGAAAAGTTTATCTCGAGAGGTGATACCATACTAGGACTCTTTTGTATGAATTGAAATAACAATGTTAAATTATTCTGTAATTGACCTCTTCAGACATAGCAACCAGTTAGAAGTCAGAACAGAAAGTACGAAATTTCCTAGTTTGGTGCTGCATACAGATACATTTTATGTGTTAAATTTGTTCCCTACCTAACATTTCCACAACCAGCTTTACTATAGAAAGAAAAGAACAAAAAAGAATATGTTATCATACATCAACCACAGTATATCTGCCACCTCCAGTGTTGGTAAGGCTTTTCACCCAACACAAATATATCTGCCATCTCCAGTGTTGGTAAGGCTTTTCACCCAACACAAATATACCTGCCATCTCCAGTGTTGGTAAGGCTTTTCACCCAACACAAATATATCTGCCATCTCCAGTGTTGGTAAGGCTTTTCACCCAACACAAATATACCTGCCATCTCCAGTGTTGGTAAGGCTTTTCACCCAACACAAATGCTCATCAGGCCAACTGGGATATGAAAGATATAGTCAGTAGTGGTCCAGGTGTTACATATACATCATCAATGTTTGGCTTCTTGTTGAAAATCAGTACACCTGGATGCACAGTACAATTTTTAAAACAACTGATAGCTAAGAGTTCAAGACTCAAAACAAAGATGTAAATTAAGAGAATAATGACCCTGTTACATAAAAACAAAACCTAAACATCTGTAATGAGATAACATGGAACAAAATAAACCAGTTTAAAAGATTTCACAAGACTTCCTTCCTAACAGGAATAAATATCCAACTACACGTTTCAATAAATTATGTAGCTCTCTTTAATTAAGCGTAGCCACATGGACATTTTCTTTTAAAGGTGGATTGTGCAAGCCTAAAGTGAATACACCACATAACACAAGTAGTAATGATAGTATCAATAAAATACCACTTATAGCTAGGTTATAAGTATTGAAAACAGTTAGTTAATTAAATCATTGCCTTGTCTTTGCAAGGCAAGTAGGGCCAATGCTTTTGGGCTCCAGTGGCACCTGTGGATAAGAATGCTAACCCTTTTCCCCTTGGAACGGATGTTAGTACATTGCTAGTACCCATCATACAGCTAGGCAGACTGGAATAAGTGGGGACACAACAGCATTACATGGGTCAGCCTTGAACTCACAACCATCGGACTACGAGACCAAAGCATGAAGCTATAGAGCTAAGCTGCCTACCACCGAGGATAGGAGTAAACAGAAGTGTTATATATAATTAAAACAATCTCTTTCTACTTTACCATAAACAAGTACATGGATTTAATTAAAAATGATTAATTTACTCACTGTTGGCAAAGGATGTTTTCCTTGTACAACACACAGCAACTCATTGGTGTTGGCCTTGTAAACCAAAGTGGAACCATCAGGATTTTCCACTACGCGAAACATGTTTACCAACACTAGCCAATATAATTAACCTGAAAAACACAAAAATCCAAAAATTAATACTAATGTTTATAGATTGTATTAACCATTTCAAGACGGGTCACAGGTGAAAGGCCATGTCATCTCGTTTTGTTGACTTTCATTCAAAATTTCATTGAACTACTATTTCATGAATTTA